GGGGGGTAAGGGAAGGGTTAAGAGGGGAAAAGAAGAGAGAAGGGGGGGGGGGTAAGGGAAAGGGTTAAGAGGGGAGAAGATGGGGGGGAAGATGGGGGGGAAGATGGGGGGGGGGGGGAGGGAAGGGTTAAGAGGGGAGAAGATGGAGGGAAGATGGGGGGGGGGGAGGGAAAGATTAGGAGGGGAAAAGAGGGGGAAAGGGAAAGGTTTAAAAGGGGAAAAGAGGGGAAGGAGAAAGGTTGAGAGGGGAGGAGAGGAGAGAAGATGGGGGGTAAGGGAAAGGTTAAGAGGGGAGGGGTTAAGGGGGGAAAAGAGGGGAAAGGGAAAGGGAAAGGATGAAGGAAGAAGGAGAGGAGAAGTGAGGGAAGGGGAAGAGAAAGTTAAGAGGGGAAACGAAGGGAAATGAGGGGAGAAGTGAAAGAGATGGATAAATGAGGGGAGAAGGAGGATGGAACGAAATTGGAAGGAAGGCGGGAATGAGGGAGAGATGAGAATAGGGGAAGGAGAAGAAGAAAAGAGGGAAGAATGAGGGGAAGAGGAGGGCAGGAGATAAGAAGGAATGCGAGGAAAAAGGGGAGGAGGAAAAGGGGGAAAGAGAGGAAAGTGAGGGGATGGGATAGATGATAAAGAGGGGAATGAGAGGGGAGAGAGAGGAAAAGAGGGATAAATAGAGAAACAAGAAAAGGAAAGAAGAGGAAAAAGGGATTAAAGTAGCCAAATAAACAGAAGAAAGCGGAGAATGGGAGAGGGATAAAGAAGGGAGAAGGAGAGAGGGAAAAGGAAGGGAAGGTGAAGAGGAATAGGATGAGAAGAGAAAGAGAATTTGGAAGAAAAGTAATAAAGAGGAGAGAAAAGGGAGGAGGAGGAGACAAGAGTATAGAGAGAAAAGTAATAAGAAAGAAGAGGAAGAGAGAATGAAAAAGGGAGAAGGATGAGAATAAGAGGAGGATGAGAGAAAAGGGAAAAAAAGAGGAAGAGGAAAATAGAAAGAGAACAAAATGAATAAAGGAGAAAGAATAGAAGATTAGAGAATTGCAGAGAGGGAGAAGGACAGTGAAGGGGGGAGAGAGATGGAGAGGGAAAGAAGGAGAGATAGTGAGGTTTGCGAAAGGGAGAGAGGAATAAATAGAAAGGAGAAAAAGAGTAAGGGAATGGAGAGACAGACAGATATATATATATATATATATATATATATATATATATATATATATATATATATAGAGAGAGAGAGAGAGAGAGAGAGAGAGAGAGAGAGAGAGAGAGAGAGAGAGAGAGAGAGAGAGGCAGAGACAGAGACAGAGACAGAGAGAGAGAGAGAGAGAGAGAGAGAGAGAGAGAGAGAGAGAGAGAGAGAGAGAGAGAGAGAGAGAAAGAGAAAGAGGCAGAGACAGAGACAGAGAAAATAGAAAGGAGAAAAAGAGTGAGGGAATAGAGAGACAGATAGATAGATAGAGAGAGAGAAAAAAAAGAAAGTGAATAAATGGTACTGTATTATGAATGTTCAATCTCTAATATTCAGCATAACCATTATCAATATCAATAGCAAGCATTAAAGACGCGAATTCCAACACACCTTTATATAATTTGCATACTGTACAGACTCTACCAAACGACTGTCCGTTCATTACTCACCTGGCCAGGAATTCACACTTACATTACTCACCACGTCAAGAGTTCGTATTGTACATTCTCACCTGTACATTCGGCACAGGACCAGATCCATTACTCAACAAGGACTCATCTATTACTCACCTAACCATTCACATATAATTCACCTAACCATTCACACGTTTTTTATCAGGTCATTTACACTATGTAGTACGTTACTCACCTGGCCGTTCGTATTGTACATTATCTACTTAGCCATTCAAACTTCATATCCCTACCTGGTTTTTCACACTGTTCAGTATACAACTATTTTGGCCATCTACCTACACAAGCAACCTAATCGTTCACGTTGAACATTCCTCATTTAAATATTCACGCTGCACATTCCTCACCTAAAGATTACCAACAAACATTCATCACCTAAGTATTCACATTACACATACCTTACTTAAAGATTCCCACTACACATACCTCACTTAAAGATTCCCACTACACATACCTCACTGCACATTTCTCACGTAAATATCCCCAACTATACACACCTCACCTAACCATTCCGACTACACATAACGGTGCTGCACATTCCTCACTTAGATATTCATGTTGCCCATTCCTCTTCTAAATATTCATGCTGCAAATACCTCACATAATCATTCATACTGCACATAACTCACCTATCCATTCACACTACACATAACTCAATTAACCATTCACACTATACATAACTCACCTAACCATTCACACAACACGTAACTCACCTAACCATTCACACTACACATAACTCACCTAACCATTCACACTACACGTAACTCACCTAACCATTCACACTACACGTAACTCACCTAACCATTCACACTACACGTAACTCACCTAACCATTCACACTACACGTAACTCACCTAACCATTCACACTACACATAATTCACCTAACCATTCACACTATACATAACTCGCCTAACCATTCATATTGCACTCACTACACACACCTCACGTAAATATTCCAACCACACATATCTCACCTAAATATCCCTTACTACACACACGCATCTCACCTGGCCATTCAAACTACACATTCCTCACCAAAATATCCCCAACTACACATTCCTCACGAAAATATCCCTAACTACACACATTCCTCACATAAATATCCCCAACTACACACATTCCTCACGTAAATATCCCCAACTACACACATTCATCACGAAAATATCCCCAACTACACACATTCCTCACCTAAATCTCCCCAACTACACACATCCCTCACCTAAATCTCCCCAACTACACACATCCCTCACCTAAATCTCCCCAACTACACACATTCCTCACGTAAATATCCCCAACTACACACATTCATCACAAAATATCCCCAACTACACACATTCATCACATAAATATCCCAACTACACACATTTCCTCACCTAAATCTCCCCAACTACACACATTCCTCACCTAAATCTCCCCAACTACACACATCCCTCACCTAAATCTCCCCAACTACACACATTCCTCACGTAAATATCCCCAACTACACACATTCATCACATAAATATCCCCAACTACACACATTCATCACATAAATATCCCCAACTACACACATTCCTCACCTAAATCTCCCCAACTACACACATTCCTCACCTAAATCTCCCCAACTACACACATTCCTCACCTAAATCTCCCCAACTACACACATTCCTCACCTAAATCTCCCCAACTACACACATCCCTCACCTAAATCTCCCCAACTATACACATTCCTCACGTAAATATCCCCAACTACACACATCCCCTCACTCAAAATCTCCTAATCTCCCCAACTATACACATTCCTCACGTAAATTATCCCCACCTACACACATTCATCACATAAATATCCCCAACTACACAAATTCCTCACCTAAATCTCCCCAACTACACACATTCCTCACCTAAATATCCCCAACTACACATACACATTCCTCACGTAAATATCCCCAACTACACACATTCATCACCTAAATCTCCCCAACTACACACATTCATCACGTAAATATCTCCAACTACACACATTCCTCACCTAAATCTCCCCAACTACACACACACATTCCTCACCTAAATCTCCCCAACTACACACATTCCTCACCTAAATCTCCCCAACTACACACATTCCTCACCTAAATCTCCCCAACTACACACATTCCTCACCTAAATCTCCCCAACTACACACATTCCTCACCTAAATCTCCCCAACTACACACACACATTCATCACCTAAATCTCCCCAAATACACACATCCCTCACCTAAATATCCCCAACTACACACACACACATTCCTCACCTGGTCATTATGCACAGGATCCGACCCGTTGTTAAGTAGGTACTCGTATACTTCTCCACCATCCTTGGCCACAGCTGCGTAGTACAGGGGAGTTCTTCCTTTGTTATCCTGGCCGAAGACTGTGCTTTGGTTCTTCTGCACAATGAACTCGACGATTTCCTTGTGGCCGAGGGCTGATGCCTGGAATGGAGGGGGGGAGGGGGGGTTAGGGGGTGGATGTGGATTATTGGGGTTTTGTTATGGGGGTAGAGGGTGTTTATGTGTGTGCAGTATATATATAGAGTATGAGTATATATTAGAATGAGAATAAAAGAAAAAAAGAAAAAAAGAAAACCAACTTGCCTAAAGAGAGAGACAAAAGCTCAAACCCTGACATTATACAACGGCACATCCCCCCCCCCCCGAAAAAAAACAGTAATAATAATAATAATAATAACAGTGAAGATAATAATCAATAACAATAATAATAACAATGAAGATAATAATCAATAATAATAATAATAATAAAAATAATAATAACAGCAACAATAATAATAAAATGACAACAACAAAACAGCAACAACAACAACAACAATAATAATAACAACAATGATAATAATAATAATAAAAAAATGATAATAATAATAATAATAATAATAATAATAATAATAATAATAATAATAATAATAATATTAATAAAAATGACAACAACAAAACAACAATGATAATAATGATAATAATAATAATAATAATGATAATAATAACAACAGCAACAATTAATAATAATAATAACAACAACAATAATAATAACAACAATAATGATAAAATATACAGCGGCACATAACACCCCCACCCCCCTATTCCAGAAAAGAAAAACGATAATAACAAAAAATAAAACAGTAAAACAAAACCAAAAACCAAAGGACACCCTACGCGCCCCAAAAGCCGACCTTATGCAGCGGGTTTAGTCCGTTGTGATCCTTCGCCGTCAGGATATCCGGAGGGTCGGACTTGGCGTCTAAAGTGTCCAGGTCTGCGTTGATGGCGGCGTTGTGTATCTCCTTGATCTTCGTCTGGAATTATTGGGTGTTATTGGCGACTATTTCATGCCCGTATCTTCGCATACCCTACATAGACCACATATCAACCCATACCATCCCATACCCATATCTCCACATAGACTACATGTCATCATATACACATATCCTCACATGTGCCCTACATGGCCTACATACCATGAAAGAAATATCTACATATGCCCTACATGGCTTACATACCATCCCATATCCACATCTTCGCATACCCTACGTAGACTACATATCACCACATACCATCCCGTATCCATGTCTTCCCATTCCTTATATAGACTACATACCATCAAAGAAGTATCTACATATGCCCTACATGCCATCCCATACCCATATCTTCGCATACCCTACAGAGACTACAAACCACATCATACCATCCCATACACATTTCCTCACGTACCCTATATAGACAAGCCATCAAAGAAGTATCTACATATACCCTACATATGGCCTACATACCATCCCATACCCATATCTTTAATACCCTACATGGACTACATATCATCACATATCCATATCATTACATGTCTTATATAGACTACATGTCATCAAAGAAGTATCTACATATGCCCTACATGGCCTACATACCATCCCATACCCATATCTTTAATACCCTACATGGACTACATGTAATCCTATATCCATAGCCTCACATACCCTATACAGCCTACATACCCCCCCCCCATACCCATATCCTCAAATACCCCACATAGACAACATAACGTCCAATATACCCAACTACATTATATTCTCCTATTCACTCCAACTAACACACTACATCATATACTATCTACTCCCAGTCCACTACATTATATTATCTTATCTTATCCTATCTATTCATATTCTCCTATCTACTCTATCCACACCATTTAACCCACTGTCCTATGTAACCAACTATTCTATCTATTCTAGGTACATCAACCAACCCACTGCATCATAATCTATCTACTTCAAACATATCTCGTATCTACTCCATATATCATATTCTCTCATCTACTCCATTCATTATATTCTCCTATCTCCTCCATACATCAGATTTTCCCATCTTCTCCAGCCACACCAACCAACCCAATGCATAATATTTTCTTATCTATTATATACATTATATTCTGTGCATTATAGTCTCCTATCTACTTTATACACATAGTCTCCTATCTACTTTATACACATAGTCTCCTATCTACTTTACATATACTCTCCTATCTACACCATTTATCCTATTTTCCTACCTCCTCCACACATCAGATTCCGCCTTTTTCTCCTCCACACACTAGATTCTCCTATCTACTCTCAACCACACCAACCAATGTCAACCTACCATCATCCTGGGCACGAGGTTGAGGAACTGCCTGACTTTAGCATGGTTACTGGTCTCCTTCAGTAGCCTGTCGCCCTGGCCCTCCCACACGATCTTCTCCAACTTCGGCAGGTCTTGGTCGTGGATCCAGATACGGATGTTGGCGCCGGTGATATTCATCATTCCTGGAGGGGGGGGGGGAGGAAGGCGTATGATATGAAGGCATACAGATAAGGTGTTATGTGTTATGTATAAGCGTATAGACATACAGAGACAAATAAGCCGATACATGTATGCATACATACATACATACATGCATGCATACATATATACATAGATACGTACATACACCCATGTATACATACACACATGCATACATACATGCATACATACATTCAACCACACAATCAACCCAAACAACCATGCAATCAAACCCAATCATCCCCACAATCAAACCCAACCAACCACACAATCAAACCCTCACAACCCAACCCCCCACAACCAACCCCCCACAATCCAACCCCCCACACAATCCAACCCCCCCCCCCCCCCACACACACACACACACAAACAATCTCACCATCTCTCTTCGGCGGCGTCCTGCTCTTACTCCCCGGCGAGTTCCTCTTCGGGGGGGTGCGTCTCTTGCCCTTCGATCCTCCGCTGCCCTTCTTGGTGGCGAGGCGGTTGACCACGCTGATGGCTGACGGGTTGGACATGTAGTCGGCTGCGGTCCTGCCTTTGTTGTCTTCCACCTGGGGGGGGGAGGGAGGGAGGAGGTTGGGATTAGGGGGAGGGAGGAGGAGGTTGGGATTAGGGGAGGGAGGAGGAGGTTGGGATTAGGGGGAGGGGGAGGGAGGAGGAGGTTGGGATTAGGGGGAGGGGGATGGGGAGGAGGGGGTAAAGGTGGATGAGAGAAAGAGAGAGAGAGAGAGAGAGAGAGAGAGAGAGAGGTGGGGGGTGAGGATGGGGGTTGGATGTGTGGAGGTGTGGAGGGGGGTGGATGGGTGAGAGGGGTGGGGTGTGAAGGGGTGGGGGGGGGAGGATGGAGGGGGAAGGATGATGGAGGGGTCGGGTTAGGGGGAGAGGGTGATGGAGAGGTGAAGATTGGGGGGTGGAGGTTGAGGGGGAGGGGGGAGGTGGTTGGAATAGGGTGGAGGATAGAGGGGGAGGGTGGTGGAGGAATGAGAGTGAAAAGGGGGGTGGGGGTTAA